GGTTATTTTTGCCAATTATATTCTTTTTACTGTGTGAAAATCACAAGTTCAGTTTTGTGCCATTCATAATGTAATTGAGAATACCTTTTAAATTCCTGAATTTGAATTGAAGTAGAAAACAGTATGCAAAACTGTAAATGTAAGGAAGTAAAATTAAAATAAAAAAATCGAAATAAAATTCAAATTCAAAGAAACTCATATCATTGATTTGAATAATTTATGTAAATGAAATACATTTAAAATGCAATCAAAAATAATTAATAGTAAAATAATTAATTTTGAATGAAGTTAATTTATTTTAACTAAACCTCCACTGATGTTTGTATTGCCACAAATAGACTACCATTTAAAGGTTTTTAGTCAGTAAGATTGATTGATTGATTGATTGATTGATTGATTGATTGATTTAAATGAATACATTTATTCAGCAATGATGCATTAAATATTAAATTGTAAGTGAGAGAATTATAATAACATTAATAATTTACAAAAGATTTAAAATAAATGCTGTTCTTTTTAACTTTTTATTTTTCAAAGAATCCTGAAAAACTCATCACAGTTTTGACAAAAATATCAAGCAGCACATTTCTGTATTCAACACTGTATTCAACTGTATTCAACACTGATGATAATAAGAAATGTCTTCTTACATTTGAAATAATAAATTAAGCTTTGTCATCAAATCAATAATTAAAATGTTTTTAAATATATATTAAAATAGATAAGTTATTTTAAATTATAATAATATTTAACAATATTACTGATTTTACTTTAGTTTGATTAGATCGGTTCAGCCTTGCTGAACATATAAGAGACATCTTTCAAAAATATAAAAAATAATTTTACCAACCCCAAACTTTAGGGAGTTTGAAATTTAGGGAACTTTAACTCTTCATTTGCTCAATTCTGAATTTTGTAAAACCCTGATTAACCATTTTCCTTTTGTTATTCAGTACACCCTCATTCTGCTCATTATTTGTGAGCTTTTGCCTTTAGAAATAACACTGGGGTTTTACAGTAAGAGTGAATAAAAATCCATACACTCTGCATTCTTTATATGCTCTTGAATGCTTTCTCACACTGTGAGCTGATAACTTTGTATCCATCCATGAATTTTTAAGCTGTAAATTTTGTTCAGGGAAGTATGGCTGTGAAATGAGAGCAGGCTTGTAAAGGTGAGATGCTTGACAGTAGTGTGAACTCACTGGTAGCTGCGTGGAGTTGACTGAAACAGGCAGGAGGTTGCTTCAGGCTTTTAGAGGTTCTCGTGTTAAGACTCCACTCTCTTTTATTGGCATTCTTTCCTGTGGAGTGATAAGAATGGCGGGCTTTGACAGCACAGACACAAAGCTAAAGAAGCTTTTAGGGCATGTGAGCGAGCGAGAGAGAAAGAGAGAGAGAGAGAAAGAGAGAGAGAGTCTGATGAACGAGATATAATTTGGTTGAGGTCGG